TGGGGGCTGGGGCAGTCCCTTGGTGAGCTTGCCCTGTGCTGCTGTTTCCAGCCAATTGGGGGCTGTGGGGACAGTGTTATTAGGCCTGGGTTGGGAGCTCTCCAGCCGCCAGCCCTGCCCCCCCTCCGGGGCTCTCCAGCCGCCGGCCCTGTGCTGTGTCGGGGTCCCAGCTCCCGCCAGCCCTGCCCCCCCTCTGGGGCTCTCCAGCCGCCGGCCCTGCGCTGTGTTGGGGGTCCTGGCTAGTGCCAGCCCTGCACACCTGGGGCTCTCCTGCTGCCGCCGGCCCCATGTGCTGGTGTTCCGGATCCTGCCAGCCCCGCGTGCCCAGCGTTTTGGCTGCTGCCCGACCAGCACCCCCGGGGCTCTCCTGGCTGCCAGCCCCACACACCAAGGTCCTGGCCGCGGCCTCAACTTGATAAGGGGGAGAGGAGACAAGGGCAGTATTAAGACCCTGCCCCTAGCCCGGCCACTTTCTTACTGGTGCGACGAAAAGGCCCAATGGTTTGGAGCAGCTTCCCCGGAGGAGCGATTAGTCAGGAGGAGCTTTCTGGGCTTGGAAAGGAGACAGCCCGGGGAGGGTCGGCCAGACTCTATACACCCACCCCGGGCGTGGCAAAGCCCACGGAAGTGTTCGTATCTGCTCCTTGTAACACAAGCATCGGGGCGTCCCGATGACGCGAACAGGCAGCAGGTTGGAACAGAGAAGGAAGCATTTCTCTGCCCAGCGCACAGTGATGCTGGAGCGCTCGCTGCCAGGGTCCAAACTACAGACGGATTCAAGAAAAGAACGAGATCCCTTCAGGGGGCAGGTCCATTAATGTCGATGAGCAACGGTGGCCAGGGATACGACCCCATGCTCTGGGTGTCCCAAGCCTGTTGGTCAGAGGCTGGGAAGGGGTGACAGGAGAGGGATCCCTGTTCTGTTCCCTCCCTCTGGGGCATCTGGCCTTGGCCGCTGTTGGCAGACAGGACACTGGGCTGGAAGGAGCATTTTGCATTTGTCCTTGGTGAATTTCCTCCCATTGACTTCAGACCATTTCTCCGCGCTGGCTAGATTGGGGTGGGCAAAAGGGCCCCCGCAGGCCGGATCCGGCCCGTGGAGGCCCTGCTGCTCCCCCGCCCCCACTCCCATGAGGCCCTGGGGTCAAGGGAAGCGCACAAAGATCCTCTGCCCTGCCAGGAGCACGTAGCACTTAGAAAAGTGCCGTGTGCCCCTAGCACATGGGTTCCCAAACCGGGGGGCGTGCCAAAATTCCAGGGGGGCTGCAAGGCGGGGGGGTGTGAAGGTTTCTCAAAAATCAAAAAGGAGGCGTGATGCCGAAAGGTTTGCACAGGAAATCTCCTCCCACCCCAGGAGCATGGAATGAGGGCGGGGCAAAGGGGCTCCCCTACCCCCAGATCAATCATGGTCTGGGGACAAGGAACCTGGAAGTATCCTGGCCCCGCCCCTTCCGCTTGAGGGCCCGTCCCTTGTGGGGCGGTCCAGGGCCACTTAAAAAATTTCTGAAGTGGCCCACGGCAAAAAATTATTGCCCACTGCCAGTCTAGAGAATGCTGGATTGTAACCCTGTGCTCTTGTAACCCCTCCCTGCTTGGGGGCATCTGCAAACTTTATCCGCGGACTCTCTAGCTGAATCACCGAGGCAGATTTTGAACAGAACTGCACCCACCACAGAGCCCCACAGGGCCCCTACTCGAAAAGCCTTTGCGGCCTGACGACGAGCCACTGATAACTCCTCTCCGCAAATGGTTTTCCAACCAGTTCTGCACCCCCCTTAGAGGAGTTCCCTGGGGTTTGCATTTCCCCACTTTGGTTATGAGGCCATGCGAGATAGAATCAAAAGCCTCACTAAAGTCTGGAGACAGCACATCTACCGCTGCTCTCCCACCCACCCGGCCCTGGAAACGAAATCCCCACAACATTGTACAAGCAGGCAGAGCCCTTTTCAAACATCTAACATGGGGGGGAGGGGAACCTCAGGCCCAGGGACCGGACGCAGCCCTCGGCTTGCACGGATCTGGCCCCCAAGACTCAGGGAGTCCCTGCCAGCATTGGGGAGCCTGTGCTGGTGCTCCAGCCCCCCTGCTGTCTCACAAAATCTACTAGGCTGGGCCCCCTTGACTCTGGTATATGAGGGGGAATGTGGGGAGTGTCTCAGTTGGGGACACAGCGAGGGTTTTTTCCTTCCATTTCTCACTTGTGTGAGGCCCCCGACTGATTTTTCCGTGGGTCAGCGGCCCCCGACCCAAAAAAGGTTCCCCACCCCGGTCTAATGGATTGGCTCAAAATGACGTTTGTTCCCAGAGAATCAAACGGACCAATCACCTGCTGGAGGGACTCTGTCAGCTAGTTTTGCCTCGTGAGTTGATTTTTATTTTAAGAGGATCACCGCCTTCCTTTTGCATAGTCTGGATTTTACCTTCCAACCCGCCTCTTCATCTCAACTGAAATACGCACAGGAATGCTCCCGACTGGATGACAGTTACGAGCTCTATTATGTCCCAGTAAAGTGGACACGGTCAAAAGAGAAAAAAAGTGTGTTGTGAGGACCTGGAGGGTCAATACCATGTGGATCAGGAGCATCTAACATTGCCTCACAATGCCCTAATCATGCAATCCGCAAGCACAACATCTGGGAAAATACAGATCCATGGCTTAACTGGATGAAATTACACTTTAATCCTGAATCTCTGAGAAGCAAAGGGATATAAATGGTGCGTGTAGTTTTGCGTCATTTAACTTAAAGGCGCGTTGAAACATTTTTTAAAGAAATAATACGTCAATACACAACAGCCACACACGGGTCTCTGGCTTCGTTCCATTCCCCTGACCTGTACAGTGCGTTGAACAGGACTTGCATTTCAAAGCATGATCACATGGATCCAATCTCCGTCGTAATGCTATTCCATTACAACGTGAGCCCGGGGCTCTGGGGTGGTACTCAAGTCAGCAGACCCTGGGTTTGTTAACCTACGGCTTGAGCAACTCCAATCGTTTGTAACCCCCGTTAGGAACTACTGAACCTTGGGTGCCCCCACGGGGCTCTAGCATCTACCTTGCATTATGTGCCCCCACGTCCAACCACCAGTGATGAGCGTGGTAGGAGAACCTATATAGACGAGCACAAATTGACTCCAACTGAGGGTCCAGCTCGCGTTGTTCCCTTATATTTCCCTCCCAAACAGCGCACAGCTCTGCAGACGCCTGCTCTTTTCAGGGCAGATGTACAACAGAACCTTGAAAAACGACTTTGGCTTTGGTACTAGGTCAAGAAATGGTCTGTTTCAGGTAGGGGCCTTGAGAAAACCGAACAGGCTCCAGATCCTATCTACCCAGGCATTTGAAATACCCCATCGCCGGGGTCCCTAGGCGGCATTCAGGTCTAGGAAAAAGCAGCGTTTACGATGCTCTAACCATTGATTAGTGTTGTTGTTTTACACGATAAAGGCGACCAACCCAGGGCGTCCAATGCTCGCTCCAAGGGCAGTCTGTTGATGTAAGCTGATGCCAGCTGGTCCAGTGTACATACATTTCCACCACCTTCACGGGGCCTTGATCCAAACCTACCAGGACTGAATTAATATTCACGCTAGTTTTGTTTCCTTTAACTTAAAGGCGTGTTGATCCCGCAGCCCTGACTCACACGAGTCGCTCTGTGGATGAGGCTCCATAAATTAATACATTGCCACCACTGGTGACTAAAAAAGAGGAAGCAAAGGTCTTCGTTCTGCTGCCTTTTTCCTGGGCAGTAAGTCAGGCAGTCTAGAGCAGCCTGGGTGACTCCAGACTCTCCTTTAAAGCCTGATGCCTTTCGCACTGCTCTGAATGGCTGTCCTTGGGCACTCCCCTTCCTCATCTACTCAGGTCCCAGAACTTGGACTAGTCATCCCGGGAGGAACAAAAAAAAAGGGGGGTGGGGGTGGGGAGAGTGATGGGTGATGGCTACCTGCAGTCCGTCAGTAGGGAGCAAGCCAATTTCCCTAGCCCAGGATTCCCCTTGTTAGCCAGTCCTGTGTGCTCAGCGGTTTTGTGGACTGATTTCTTTGCTCTGCAAGCTGGTTACACGGGTTACTGCGCTCAAATGACTGCTGTTGCCTGCCTGGGCCCTTGGATTTTGTGGCTAATCACAACCAGGGGCGGCCTGTGACTACAGGCCGACTCGGCCGTCGCCTAGGGCGCCACCTTCAACGGGGCGCCGGATGATTACGTCGCTCCATCGACGGCTGTGTGGGCATGGGTGCCGATTGTGCATTCCGCCTGGGGCGCCAGCTGCCGCAGCCCGCCTCAAACCGCCCCGACCACAAACTAACTCCTTGGGATTCTCCATCTCTGCTCAGAAACAGCACGTCCGAGCTAGACCTTCCCAAGCGGCCACACACAAACCTGGCGGGAGAGAAACAACTGGGGAGGCCAGCGTGTTTGACTTCCCCACTCAGCTCCACACGCAGCCTTTGTACCAATTTCACTCTTCCGGGGGTTGGGGGGGGGATATTTTTTAGTTCTACTGGTGCAGCTCCTCATGTGGACACGGCTGGACTGATATAAAGGCGCCTTCTGTGGGTGTAATCAAGACACACGCTGGCTTTAACTAGCCGGGGTGGGTTTGATGTGTGGGCGAAGCCCTCAGATTGCTCACCAAAAGCAAAACGCCAGGCTAGCTCCCTTCCTGATTGGCTACGGGAGGAGACACAATGGGGGAGATTTAAGTGGTGACCTGACCAGTGTCACAGCTGGCTGCTGGGCGCTCTCTCAGGAGCCATGCACATTCCCAGGGCACGGATACAGCAGCAGGTCACCGCACTAGACAGGACGCTCTCCACTTGATCGGCTTGGGAATCGGGCTTTAAAGAGACATGCTCTTGCGGTTTTCACTCCACAGCCAGTTTATCACACGGCCATGTGCCTTTTGGCTTTAAAGCATCACAATGGCCATTTGAAGCATCAGATTGTCCTAGCCGATGAGAGGAATGTCCCAGCTGCCCTCTCAGTGGCCTTTCTTTGCCCCCGTAGGCTGGTCGTTGGCCGTCACAGCTCTGTGTGCCGCGTGGGCGGCTTCTCTCTTCCTACCAGCCTGGGAGCTGTGCCACGCAAGTCTCTCCCTGACGCGTGGCCTTTCTCTGCGCCGAGGCCCGGTTCCTCCGCCTGCTCCTCTCGGACAGCCAGCGTCTCCTCCGATACCTCCTCTGGCTGCTGCAGCCCATCGCTGCCGTGGTGACTATAGACGGTGAATTCGGGCAGGGTGGCCTCCATCATGCGTAAGAAGTTGTAAGCGGGCAGAGGAGGCTTCCAGTCTCCATCCGACAACGTAGCTGAGAACATGAGAACATAAGAACGTAAGAACGGCCAGACGGGGTCAGACCAAAGGTCTATCCAGTCCCGTGTCCTGTCTGCCCACAGTGGCCAATGCCAGAGGCCCCAGAGGGAGGGGACACCACAGGGAATCCTCACGTGATCCCTCCCGTCACCCATTTCCAGACACACAGAGGCTAGGGACACCATTCCTACCCATCCTGGCTAATAGCCACTGATGGACCTAACCTCCACGAATGTATCTAGTTCTTTCTTGAACCCTGTTAAAGTCCTGGTCTTCACACATCCTCTGGCAAGGAGGATGTTGAGGAGAAGAGGAGACAATCAGAATTGAATGACCCAGGGTTGGGATACAGCTGGTGGCAGGCAGGCCCAGATCTTCCACTGGGAACTGCATGATCCCAGAGATCCCCCACTATGTGATTCTCAGTGCACATCAGGGCCTTAGCAGAATGTTCTGTAGCATAACAAGAAGCACAGGACAAGAAGCAATGGGCTGAAATTGCTGCAAGGGAGGTTCAGGTTGGACATTGAGAAAAAAAAGTCCTGTCAGGGTGGTGAAACACTGGAATAAATTGCCCAGGGCGGTTGTGGAATCTCCATCACTGGAGATATTTAAGAGCAGGTTGGATAGATCTATCAGGGATGATCTAGATGGAGCTTGGCCCTGCCATGAGGGCAGGGGACTGGACTCGATGACCTCTCGAGGTCCCTTCCAGTTCTAGTGTTCTATGATTCTATGATAACTGTTTAGTCACATCAGTTTCAGTCAGCTACAGAAATCACAATTTCACTACCGTTTTCCACTAGCTACTTGGAACATTTGTTTTTCTACTGGCTGGAAAGAATTTCTATTTTTGAAACTGGATTTCTTCTTTAATCAGGGCCCTCAAATTGTGTATAACAACGCAGCCATTTAATAAATACAATATGCAGCTCTAGCACTGCTCTTTTAAATTCCTCCTGGACCATAAGAGATCTCTTGCCCTGCAAGGTGAAGTCTAGTGCATAAGTTTGAGCACCTGTAAAAAGTTCCCAAAGGGCTGGAGGAGTTTGAAAGGAATGGGGCTCTAAATACCATGTTCTTGTTTTGCATATGAGAAACTGGTGTTTTTACAAAACATCTCAACCTCCCCCCAAAGCTGTGGTTTAAAACAATGGGTTTTTATCAAGCTTTGAGCCACATTTAACCCCTTTCTTCACACCATTTTGGCCCCAAAAAGACGTGATGCAAAGCATGCATGGAATGCAAAGATGTGCTTTGTTATCTTGTGCAAATTGCACTCTTGGCTTGAAAGTTGTTCTAAAGTCTTCTAGAACGGCTGCACAATGGAACCTCACTGATCTTATATGTCTTGAACCAAATCGGACCCACTCAGCACAAAAGTCGTTTTGCAAATCGACAGCTCATGACTGTGCAGTCCTATGTTAGGCACGGTGAGTTTTGCCAGAACCATTATCTTAAAGAACCAGTTTCTTAATTCATGCTCCAGTTTGGCGGAGCATCTAAGCACATGCTTAAGTCCCCACTAGAATCCAGCGAAAGCCTAGACTCACCATGGCTTACATGAGCGGTTTTCAAACAACGGGTCGCAAGCCAGTATTGGGTGGTGGGAAGTCGGGCGCTGGGTCTCGTTGCTGCAGGAGGGGCAGGTAACCAGGGGGCACTAAGGCAGTTCCCTGACTGTCCTGGCTGCACCCCAGAAACAGCCAGCAAAAGGCATGGTTCCTAGATAGGGGAAGGTGAAGCGCACCAGGCGCCGCACACTGCCCATGCCCCAAACACTAGCTCCGCACTCCCATTGGCTGGGAACCTACTATTGGCCGCTTCTGGGGCGCAGCATGGTCTGTGGCGACAGGAGAGGCAGGAAGCTGCCTTAGCAACCACACTGCACTCAAAGTAAGCCCCTCCTGTCCCAGCTCTGACCCCCCAAAGCCGGAGCCCCCTCCTACAGCCCAAAGCTCTCCTGCTCAGCCCCACCCCGGAGCCCACGCTCCAGTCAAATGATGCCATATCACAGGGATCAACAGTTTTCTTGGACTGGGTCATGAGAAAGCAAGTTTGAAACCCCCCGCCTTAGCAACCACACTGCACTCAAAGTAAGCCCCTCCTGTCCCAGCTCTGACCCCCCAAAGCCGGAGCCCCCTCCTACAGCCCAAAGCTCTCCTGCTCAGCCCCACCCCGGAGCCCACGCTCCAGTCAAATGATGCCATATCACAGGGATCAACAGTTTTCTTGGACTGGGTCATGAGAAAGCAAGTTTGAAACCCCCCGCCTTACAAATTGAAAACATTCTGACGGTAACACTGGATGTGAGGCATAAACATACGCACAAAATGAAACTGGGACTGCAAGGTGAAAAGGGCTTATGTGGGACATGACGGGGGGGGGGGTAGGCATCCTCTTTAGCCTACTCATGGGTGAATTCTACAATGAACGGCACATGGCCACACATGGAAAGCTGACGTGATAAAGAAAATGACTCCATCAATCAGAAGGTGGGCAGATTCCGATTGTACAGATGCTGCGGAAACCTGGGTGATTGAACGATAGTGGTATCATTTAGGGCCTAACGAGATTGGGTGATTGGACAGAAAGAGGAGGAACTGAACAGTGCTCTGCTGACAAAGTGGTACGAGATCGTTATCTTGTCCAAGCAAACTACCGAAAGGAAGAGAGGTGGCTTTGTTTCCATTAGATAAGGAACGTTCTTACTTATTTTAAACAGAAATGCTGCACTTTGTGGGAGTTAAACCTGAGATAAATGAGTGCGATGAAACTGCAGATGTAGCCCATAGTAACACGGTGTGGGACTAGTTGCCAGATCCTGCCACAGGCTTCTGAGGGTGCGCTGGCCTCGTGGTGCCCACAGCTATGCCTAGCTGAGGAAGTTGAATCCCATTTGTCCCATTTCCCAAGGTCCCGAGTTCAAGCTCCACCCACAACCCATCTATCCCAAGGAAGCCATAGCAGACTCATAAACCCAACATGTGGCCCCACCACTAGAGGGAGACAAATCGCCAAACCATCCATCTCAGTTTAGAACGTCTCGAAACATCTCAAATGCTGACATTTTCCGGTGCAGAAAAGGGACGTGTAAAATCCATGGTATGGCCACATCTTAAATACTGCGCACGGATGTGGTCTCCTCATCTCAAAAACAATATACGGGCATTAGAAAAGATTCAGAGAAGGGCAACTAAAATGATGAGGGGTTTGGAATGGGTCCCATATGAGAAGAGATTAAAGAGACTAGGATTTTTCATCTTGGAAAAGAGGAGACTAAGGAGGGATATGACAGAGGTCTATAAAATCATGAGTGGTGCGGAGAAAGTGAATAAGGAAAAGTTATTTATTTGTTCCCATTATATAAGAAGTAGGGGCCACCAAATGAAATTTATGGGCAGCAGGTTTAAAACAAAAAAAAGGAAGTTCTTCTTCACACAGCGCACAGTCAACCTGTGGAACTCCTCACCTTAGGAGGATAGGACTATAACAGGGTTTTAAAAAGAACTAGATAAATTCATGGAAATTAAGGTCATTAATGGCTATTAGCCAGTATGGGTAAGGAACGGTGTGCCTAGCCTCTGTTTGTCAGAAGGGGGAGATGGATGGCAGGAGAGAGATTGCTTGATCACTACCTGTTTGGTTCACTTCCTCTGGGGCACCTGGTACCAGCTACTGTCGGCAGACAGGATACTGGGATGGATGGACCTTTGGTCTGACCCACTACGGCTATTCTTATATTCTTATGTTCTTAACTTCCACGTAACATCCTGGGCTACAGGGAAGAATGCATTGAAAAAGTGCCCTCTTTTCCAAACTGTGGTATGCGAGTTTCATGGACGTGGCCAACAACTGCTGTGTTTGGATAAGCTGGCTTTAAACAAGTACTCGAGGGCATGTCTACACTACGGAAAAGATCGACCCTCTGGAGGTTGATCTTCTAGCATTTGATTTAGTGGGTCTAGTGTATACTAGGGATGTGAGCGACTAGTCTACTATCCGATAAACAAATGCTTATCGGACAGTCGACACTAGTCGACTAGTCACTTCCCCCGCCCTTGCTGTCTCTATCAGAAAGAGGCAGCAAGTCGGGGAGGGGTGCTTCAAAGCTGCAGCGCCACGTGGAGCCCGGGAGAGCAAGGGAACCCTGGCTGCCATGCGGCGCTGCTGCTTTGAAACGCCATGGGGAGCATGGGGCCAGAGGGGGGTACTTGAGTCCCCCACTGGCCTCGTGTGCCCCACTGTAACAATAGGGCTTTTCTGTAGCCATGCTGGAAGGCCTGTGCTAGACCTGAACCAAAGCTGCCTTCTGCAGCCAGACTGAAGAGCAGCAGCCAGCACTGTAAGGCCTGGAGTCACAGCCTCACAATTCCATCTAAATGGTATTAAAAAGTGTCACCCCAGGCTGTGAGGAGGGGACTGTGTCCTGATAGCTCCCCACTGTCACCAGATAAAGAAACAGATCTCAAGATGGGGAAAGAAAACTGAAGTCACCCCATTGTGTCTGGCAAGAAACTGCTTCTCCATACTTGAAGTTGTGGAATCCTCATTCTATGATCATTGTCACTATACTTTCCTGTTGTTTGACTGTGTGATCTCTGTGTGGTTTGTAACTATTTCTGTTCGCTGTGTAATTAATTTTGCTAGGTGTAAATCAATGAAGGTGGTGGGGTATAATTGGTTAGGTAATTTTGTTATGATTGGTTAGTAAAATTATACTAAAATAATTGGTTAAGGTCTAGCTAAGCAAGACTTAGGTTTCATTATATAAACTGGGGTTCAAGAAGGAAAAGAAAAAGAAGAAGATCAGAAGTAACAGAAGGAAGAAAAGGCTGGAAGAAGACCAGGAGGAGGGGGAAGACCTGGAAAAGAAGAACTCACCTCCGAGACACAGCCTAAGACCAGAGAGACTGATATTGCCTGGCCAACAGGGGAAGTCTGC